CTCCTCAGCCCCCACTTCTCAGCCCCCACTTCTCCTCAGCCCCCACTTCTCCTCAGCCCCCACTTCTCGCCAGCGCCCACACTCACGCGAAGAAGGGGTCGTCCTCAAAGCCGCTGGTCAGCCTCCGGAACATTTTGGCTGTGCGGCGGGCGGCGGGCGGCGGGCGCGGGGTGGAGAAGGGCGCTGCTCTAGCCACCGCCACCCGCCTCCTCTCGGAGCCTCAGTGCCTCTCCCGGAGGCAAAGACAGCGCCCGCACTCTAGGCGGGGCCGCTCCTCGCGGCTTTCCCATTGGCCCATCTCCCCTGACGTCACTAACGCGAGGCGGGGAACGATGCGCGGCTGCTATGGCAACTGCTGTCAACACATTGAAGGGGAGAAGTTTGGCCTGCAAGGCGTTTCCCAAGCCTTCAGAGGGACCTCAGCCTGAGGTCTGTACTGCAGGGACCAAGACCTTAGACACCTTGGTGACCTTGGCCAATCGCTGCCGGCCCTTTCGAAAAAATGGAAATAGGCCAAGATTTCGACAAGAGGACACCTTGCCAGTCCCATTCTCCCATCCACAGGAGTGAATCCTGTATCTGAATCGTTCTCTGGTCCTGGTCCAATAATGGGAAAAAAAGTGCTAAAGGTTTTTGAGTACGGTTAGCAAGTAGTGTACTCACTTCTTGAAGGAAACAAGATGATGCCTATCGGATTTGAAAAAACAAAAGACATACTAAGGAGTTCATATATAATATGCTGCATATTGTACAAGTCCTTGAACTCTCTCTCTCTCTCTCTCTCTCTCTCTCTCTCTCTCTCTCTCTCAATGTAACATTTTCAATGCAAAATAAGTTCTTAAATGGGCATTGTCCACATGTGTCCCACGAGGGGCTATACCCTTACAGGCAGATCTGAATTTTAAATTGTTTTCCATTGTTTGGCTATTTCTGTACTGTAGTTCTTTGAAAGTACTAATAAATTTAGTGTATTAAACAAGAATTTTAGCTATTCAAATAATAGAGTGTTTAGATTATTAGAAGTATGTTTAAAACGATCACAATTTTGAAATTTTTGAGAATCCCTGACTTACTGTCCCCGTATCTCAAAGATGCTAGGAATTTGAAAACACTGAGAAATATGCTTTTTTTTTTTTCACTGCAAGTTAAAATTCTAAAATGGGGACTGGAGAGAAGTGCAGTGGTTAAGAACAGTGACTGCTCTTGCAGAAGACCCAGGTTCGAATCCCAGCATCCACATGGCAGCTAACAACTGTCCATAACTCCAGTTCCAAGGGAACCAACAGTCTCTTCTGTCCTCTGCCGGCACTGCACAACATGGGTGCACTTACCTACACGCAGGCAATACACACATACACATAAAATAAAAATAATAAAATATTTTTTTAAAAATTCTAAAATGTATCGTTACCGAACAAACACACATTATTTTTGTAAGAAAAAAAAAAAGTCCCATAACACAGCGCTTTATATTGCTTCAATGATTCTACTCAGGAGGCTGAGGCAGGCGGATCTCTGTGAGTTCGAGGCCAGCCTGGGCTCCAT